GGCGGCAAAAGCAACTTTAGCTTTTGGTCTGAACGTACAGTTATAGTTGAAGTCAGGTTTTTGCAGTCTCCTACAAACAGTGTTGCATTATGGGTTGGTTGTAGCCTTCTTGTTGCTAGGCTACGGAGTGTATGTAAGTCTGTTTATAGTGTGCCTTTAGTTAGCCTTAAAAGTGTTTTGTTGGCCTAGTCTAATCTGCAGGAGTTTCTGAAGGCTCTTGTAATGTGTTTTGTTGCCACGGAGGAAATAAATTCCTGATGAGTCCAAAGTGGTCCTCGATATCTTTGCTGCAGTATGTAAATTAATTACCAGCTCAACACAAACGCACCTGCTGGATTCTCGCTTGTGAGACGTAAAAGAGATCCCTCTGCTTTGAATCCCTGTGTGTGACCAAGGAGTTGAGACAACCAAGTGAAGGCCGAGCTGAACATCTGTATGAACAGGGCCTACATCTGGCTCTGGATGACCTTTAGTCATCTTTTTTGAGTGCGAGCAGTCTAACCACCAACTATCTGACTTCCTCTCTTTTGGAATAAAGAGCCGACACTTGGCTTTGTATAATGTTGTTGTAACCCAGTCCATCCAGGGCCAGTGGTAATAAATAAGGTGCTGAATCACTTCAGCTGGTTCTGTGGTCAAACAGGCTGACTCATGACACTTTTCATCACCCTGTTTTTCTCTTTTTCTGTTTTGGAGTATCTTTATCTAGCCTCCCTCTCCAACATTCACTGCTCGTTAGCAACTACCAGTAATCCTGGAGGTCACTGTGTACAATAAAGTCATTGGTTTCCTAGTGTACTGTCAAGGAAATTGAGAATTCCTTTTCTAATATCTTTTTTTGCAAAAACCCCCTAATTTATATAGGAGAATGTTGTAGTAGTAGTTATTCCTTTGATTAGACCTGATGAGTACTGCACAAATAGTGGACATAATCGCTTCAGTAAAAACAGTCTGCAAGCACACACATTTCATGATGAAGTCATTACTGATAAGGGGGCTCATGTAGTTCAGCTTGACCAGAAATCTGCCACAGCTGCAAAACGATCCTCACATTTGTGCTTGGCTTGCTGCTCAGTGCTTCATGTGTAATGTTGGAGTTGGTAGCACAGTATATGCAGAACAGTT